CGCGAAGACGAGAAAAAAGGTTCACCATCAGCCATTCTCTTCGCCCAGATTGCTCTGTTTACTGCAACCATTTTTGTGTGGAATACCAGCCTATACGCAAAACATGATCGCACCGGATTCAAAACGATGTTGTCTTACCAAATCATAGCCGTTCTGGTATCTAATTCGAGGATTCTGAGTCAACTTAAATTCATCCATAGACCTTGTAGCTCCATGGTGAATCTTATAGCAAATCTCATCTGCTTGATTTCAACTCTTGTTTTTGAGAAATTTTATGAGAAATCCTTGAGTGCTCTGGGTTTTGCCTTGAGCATCACTGTTTTGTTTCTAATCCTACTGGTCATAATCCGACCCTCCACGGACCTGGGCTTGTTCGGTTTTCTAATTGGAGTCATTGGATCGGTTGCGTACAATCTCTTCGGACTCAACTCTCAAACTTGGATAGTTGTGGCCATCTGTTTTCCGCTAGTGGGTTTTAGGATCTGGCTAGACAAGATGTGGTTGCTAGTGAGTTTTAGGATTAGGTCCTGTCTAGGCGAGATATGGTTGGAGGTGGAAGAAGATCGGGAAGTTGAGTCACTGCTCACTGATAGGAGCACTGATAGGAGCACTGGCGTGATTATTGAGGAGTTAACGGTGGCGGGTTTCCACCTCTTTTGGCTTTACATTTTGTTTAGAGCCAATTGTCCAGTAAGGCTCCAATCCATATCTTGCACCCCAAGTTCTGTAATCGGAACGCCAGCAAGTTTGCTCAGATCTTGCACCCCAGGTCCTGGTTTGCTCATATTTTGCGGTTCTGGTTTGCTCGTCTTGCATCCCAAGTTCTGTAGTTTTTAATTTGTGGCTCGGGAGTGTATATTCCTTGTTAATGATGCTCATTGGATGCCTGCACACAAGGAGGAATAGGAAGAAGATGGCCTAGCGCAAGCATGAGAGACATACCATATTTAACCTGAAGGCCATGCCAATAAAGCGCATCTGCCCGCATATATATATATATATATATATATATTGTACTCTAGCATCTTGCTTCTCTTCGTTATGGGATCTTATACGCAACTCTCAACTCCACGGGAACTTACA